TTGATAAAATAAAATACGAGATATACGGGAACAAACCTGTATGTTTAAAAACAACCCAATTTCATGTATAAACAAACGTTCCAAAATGCTCTTTACTGATATAGAAGATGTTAATATTTAAGATAATTTTTGCTCGTATTAAATTATTTTTTTCTAATATGCGCCGTTAGCGTCGATAATTTATATCTAGTTATTATTTAAAAACATGGTACTGCATGTATGAAATGCCAGTTAAAATCAACCCTACTTTATAGCATTTAATTTTTAACATCCTGTATAGAACTTAAGATTTTTTCCAAATTAATATTAATTATCGTTGTTTTTAAGTCATTTGAACCACGGAACAAGTTGTAATTTGATATTTAATTTAATTATAATTATTTAATTAATTAGTTAATAATTTTATTTATTTATATTTTCGATTTTTAAAATCTAAAGATACAACTGAGATACAGGATATGAGTTTCCAAAATCAACCTAATAATGAACTTTAGTTCATCATTAATCACAACTGGTGATTGCAAGAATACCTATATAAAGGATTAATTATATCATTTGCTCAGTTGTTCAAGACTTAGAAACATTCATATGGAAAAAATATAATTACGTTTTGCAACTTTTGCGAAAAGGGGCATGGAAATCTTCCTTAAATAAAATACCATTAAATTATTTTATTTCGTAATTCCTTAACCAGAAAATGACACCGCAGCTTTTACTATGAAGAAAACATAAAATTATCCACCGCTCGGCAATATGGACGTTAAGTACACTGGCGGATTCACGGTAAGTGCGGGATTTAAGCGCCGGTTTTCCCTTGCAAACAAAAAGTACCACTCTCTCGTGATGATTTATCGTAATAACCGATATCGCTGGTGTAAGGAGCCTGATTAAAAAGCGATAACAAACTTCAATTTGCGCCCGATTAGCAGTAAATTATTTTTTAGGATTTTTTATATACCGAAAAAACAACACCTATCCAGTACGTATCTCTTATTGTTCCGAGATTACAATGATAAAAGTCAAATTTGAATCATCGGTACCAAACGGGACAGAGCTCCCGAAGTCGGTAAGCTATAAATTGATGACAAATTTTATCTAGTTTCAATGTATTTTGCAGATTAATTCCTGCAGAGTGCTGCAAAACTCAAAATTTCTGACTATAAATAGAACAACATAACAAAAACAATTTCTATATGACCACATCTGTGTGTAAGTAGTTTAAGTCTCAAACTAAACTACTACGTATAGTCGATGGCATAGTTGAAGGCTTTGAGGGGGATGAGCTTTATGAACTTTAAGGCTGTGTGACGTCTCCAAGGCCTTTGACTGTGGCAGTCGTTCAATTTTAATGGAAAAACTGTAATTTTACGGTTTGGATCCCATTGCGATAGAGGAATTATCCTCTTGTCTCCCTAATAGAAAGCAAGCAGTGTTTTGCATTAATAAAATGTCAAATTTACGTATAATGCACGGAGTTCCACAGTGTTCTATTATAGGTCCATTATTGTTTATTTAGTAAAGCGCCTTTAATCGGAAATGATTATCTAGTCTAGAGCTACTATGCTCTTATTCATTCAATTTTGTCATATATACGTGGGGTAACTCAATAGATTCCACAAAAACTTTTCCAATGCAAAAAGAAGCGATAAGAATTATATCCAACGCAGGATATAGAGACCATTGTCAACCGCTGTTTCAGAATCTTGGGGTTATGCCACTGCCATCGGTATACATATATCACACAGATAATCTCACTTCCTCCTCAAATTTGCTTTGAACTAGGAAGTTTAAATACACTAAAAGCATGAAAATTTCTCTTGACTCTAAGTTTATAAAACTTAATTCCAAATCAAGTCGCAAACTTGTTATTTAAAAATTTTAAAACCAAAATTAAATCTTTTTTTGGAGCATTGTTTTTAGTGTCTAGAGGAAAACAAATAGAAGATAAAAGATATTACCTGATTACCCGATTCTTGATGGTGGCCACTGTTTGGTTATGTTCGATATCTTAATTTTTTTTTCATTTTTATTCCTGTTTGTTTTTATGTGTTATGTATTACGTTGTTATACCTATTATTATTGTAGATTTTATCCAATCGTATATATAATTGTAGTTTTTTTTTCTCTTTTGTACTTAGATGTGCTGTAAACATAATATGTATTGTAATTCAGTCAAATAAAAATCTATATCTCTATGAAATATATCATTTTTCAGATTGCATCTATTATGGCTGCTTAAACTTAAATACTATAAGTATATATCATTGATTAATACTTGTTCGGGGATAAAGGTTACGCAAATAGGAACTAATCAAGACAAGGACAACAACTACAGACGAGGAGAACCAGGAATCTTACAGCTACGCAACTTTAATTGCACCCGGTGCTTAAAAAAGTTATGTCAAAAATCAATAGGGCTTGAAGACAACAATTTTTTATGAAAATCGGTTCAAAAACGCTTCGTTTAGAAAATATAGTGCGAAACTTTTATTTTTTTTTATTAACTTTTCTAATTTATAACGATAGATATGCCAATAGATCTGAATATACTAATCTACTATGTAATACTATATTTACCTCGCCGTTATCACGTAGTGGTTGAGATATTCTTTAGTTTTATATCATATTTTTTACGGTCAAACAACGAGGAACGGCAATAGAGAGATGAATCTTAACACTTTCTTATTCTTCGGCACACAAAATATTTTCGGAATTTCCCACCGATCAGGTCATTAGTCCCAGAGACAATTTATATACGCGAATTTCTGTCTACATAAATTATAATGTGAACGACTGCGTCATTTTTGGAAGTGATCCTTAATTCTTATATTTTTAAGTTGCTGGTTTGCTTTATTGCGTTGTTATAGCAGCGACCGTATTGCTTGGCATTTTCATAGGAGACTGTAAATAATGGCGTCTTTATCGTCGACGGAGTAAAACATACGCTTGGAGGTTCTCTATTATTCTTGAGGAAAACCGCCTATTTGCTGATATATAGTTTCATTTGCGATTTGCCAATACCGGTTTGGCTAGCTGCAACTTTTCGTTTTTGTTCTTTTCCGTTGAGACCAAATTATTTTTCGGCTGGCAAAGTTACTGATTGGTACCAAGCAGATACTTGACGTTTAACATACTTCTAAAATCAAAACCTTGGCAAAAAAAATGTCGCACTGCTTTAGTCGAGCAGCAGCAGTTTTATTAAAAATGTAATGGTCTGTGGCAATTTAATTAGAATTATTAGCCTAGTTTTATAATTATCATATTGTTATTTAAGTATGTAGTATGCAGGGTTCTGATCTAATTGATTATTGATAAACAATGTTTTGTCGTCCATTTTTGTATAAAAATATTTTTCTTTTCTATATGTGTGGAATTTTCGTACCAACTTTTACAAAGTTAATAATCTTTTGTATAAATAATTCAGCAGCTTTATTTAGGTTTTTTATATTGTACGTATCCAGCGATATCTCGCGATTTAAATCCGTTTTTAATTTAATTAATATACCTTTAATTGAAAATGTCATTATTGCGCTAAAGAAATTGCGATATGAACGTGATCCGACGTTACAAAAAACAAATTATCTTATGGTTTTTTGAGCTGTAATAAAAAAATATAGATACAAATAAATCGATATCGATTTTTAAGTAAAAAAAATCTGTCGTTTTTGGTCAAAACTGACACTGCATCGTTTATTATTGTCCTGCTGGGGTTGGTAAACTATAAAATTAGCCAGGTAAATCATAAGAGCCTGGAAATAAGTGCGTTTTTATAGTGCATGGACAAATAGATATACTTTTTTTGAGAAAATAGCCTATTTGCTGATATTCAATTTAAAAATAGTATATTATGTAACAAGTGCGGTAAACGGCATTTGACTCACGAGATTATTTGCGGAGCGGAGCGCAGCAGAATGAGTGTTTAATAAACGAGTGAATTAAAAATTTTGCCGAACGTGTTGCATACTATACTTTTTCTACGATCGTTAGTTTATGGGTTCATTTTCGCAAAACAACACGAATATATTCACTGACATGACTGTCAGAATTGACAAACGTCAAAATTCAAAGCGTGGGAAATATCTCCGAAAACATCCGATGGCTCCTAAACCCGTGCGGTAAAATCCCGGAAATGTCCGAAGTGACTCGGATCCGTGGAAAACAAAACTGACGTGGAAAAGTGACGCTTCCCGCAGGCTAGATCGGTGTGTAAGTAGGTATTTTACAGACGAGAATAGAAAAATATATTTTCTTTTGTCATCTGTAACTATTGTGTTGGTTATTTGCAAGTTTACCTTCTTGCAAATTAAGGATCCGCTGGTAAAGTTACTGGTTGTTACCAAACAGATACATTTTATCTTCAACCTCTTGATGTTTACATGTAATCAAAAATATTATTTAATTAAAATGTATTATTAAATTATTTATTATTTATTATTATTATTATTATTCTTTTATTATTAAATTATTTAATTAAAATTGTATAGGTGCAAATTGCAAAACTAGTTATTTTTTCGACGTAAAAGAAACATTGACCATATCCAGTCATATCTCATGAATCAGATCACATTTTAGTTTTGTATAATTAATATGTTTTTAATGACATTTTCGTTATTGCTTGTGTTGGAATTTGTGGGTTTGGGGATATACATTTGAATACTTCCTTGCGAATATAATTAATGTTATTTTTAGCTAAAAACGATTCTTTTTTTGCTCAAAACGATGTACTGCATAATAAAAATGCCAGCTTTCCTTTCGGGTGACCTAAATAGAGCTCCATTGTCCATTATTCTCCTGATGGGATTCGTAAACCGGAAAATTAGCCAGGTAATCGGAGCCTCATCTGATTTTAATGACCGTCGCCAAAATTCCCCATGCCAAAACGATAAACCCCCGAGGACTATTTTCACCCCGTTAAACGCATGCCAACGATCGGTATAAATACGAACGTGTAGGAATATTTGAGCGTTATTTCGCTGCGATAGTTTCGAGCGTGTCGTACGCCAGGCAATCGTCGCTGGAAATCCCGAGATAAAATTTCGTTTTCGATACGGTCCTGATTGTCAGACGAATACGCAAATCAGTGATCTACGGTGCGTGATCCGCGAGCGTCCGCGATTTTTAAATCTTTAACGGGAAAACGCGACGAGTTTTCGGAATTTCGTCTGTAAGGTGTCGTCACGCTGGCATTTAAAAAAATATTTTTCGAGTACCAATGTCGTCACGGCTCGGATTGTTCGGCATCGCACTGGGACATTGTACCAAAGGTTAGTTTTTTTTTACGAAACTAAAAATGGCACGCGGTTGATTCTTTTGCGGATTGGGCGCGCCGGAAGTCAATTGGTATTATTTTACATTTTATAAAAAAATACCTTTTTATATGTATTGATACAGGGTGTTTGAAAAACGCTCCCGTTACGGCCTAGATTAATATGTCTCCAATGAAACTGATCGTGGTCAATGTCATCATTTTCTTTAGTCTTAATTTTTAAAAACAAGAACAACGAACGAACAAACGTGTATCAAAGGTTCAAAAATAAATGTTTATAAAAATACTCTTTGTTGTTTTCATGATTTTTTCGAAAACGAAGCAGGATAGAAAAACTACTCGAGAGTAAAAAAAATTGTACTTTTAGTGTCTTACATCTCTTTGACAATACTGTTCATTAAAATGCTTCACGGGACTGCACTGGACTTTGCGATTCTAATATAATTGAAGTAAAATTAACCCTTTGTCATTAAAAACGTCCTTGCCAAATTTCAACAAAATTGGGCAAGCAATATTTTACATATTTATCAAAAAAGCTGTGATTTGGAATATGCTTTATGAAACACCCTGTATTATTAATATACTGCTTTTTCTCCGCGATTTTTCTTTTGAATTCATCATCGCGATCGAGAAAAAATTAGGCTAAGTAATAGCAAAAAATAATGGTAACATTATTTTAAAAATACAATTTTGTTTAGTCTTTAAAAATTGATCCTATCTGTATACGGTTTAATGGCCGAAATATCAGTTATTGATTTTCCACTTTAACAAAATCGCAAAAAAAAAAGACATTGAAATTGTAAATATCTAGTGTTAAAATTTTTAATTTTTAGATTCGACTAAGTAAATAATTGTTAAATAATCCTACTTAACCTCATCACTGTTCAACATTTCTATCTATTCGTTTTTATCGACCGTTGCCAACAAAAGAAACCTAAATTATCGCTTACGACTTAATTTAATTGCAAAGTTATGCTATTTTTTTGTAAAAAGGTAAAATTGTTGATTCAAATTTGTCAATCTAATTCATAGGTAATATAGCAATATCTATACTTGCAGCTATATGCTATTAGAAAATATCCTGGCTGTAAGTTTAAGCGGTGTGAATAATTTTTAGACAATATAATAGTTAAAACCTCTAAATAGCTAATTATATTTCTAATTGTTAAGCTTTTTAGTAACAACTACCTAAATCTTCTGTCTTTCGAGCACAGGCTGGTCGGTATAGTATAGGTTAGTATATTAAAACAATTTTCAAAATCTATTCTGCCCATAAGATTGTTTTGTTCGCGAAGATGAGTTCGAGTTTAACTTAACTTTGTAGCTATGTTCAGGTGAAACAGATATCTGAAATGGATCCGAAAAGAACGCCACGCACGGTGTTTCAAGATAACCCTTGACTTGCGCTTTCTTTTAGCGTTCGACGCGCGTTTAGTTTCAGTTATTCTCGTTGCCGTCGACGTGGAAGGAAAATCCGCACGTTGCGACAACGGAAAAAAGGAAAACGCGCATTCCTATCGACTGTCGGCACCGCAAAATTTTCGAAGCATTTCACCTTGTACTTCTTTTTCTAAACATGCGTCGCGTCGGGTAAATACGATGTTTGGCCCGAGTATTCCATTTCCCTGAAGGTCTCAGCGCACAACGGTGATAATTTACGAGTTTTTCCATACATTGGGTCTTTCTTGCCAGCAGATTTCGGGAAATGTCAATGTGATATACATTAAAAACGCCAACACGAGCTATGCATTTGGAAATGTGACATGAAAAGGTGACTACAGCTGATAATAACAGGCCATTAAAATTGTCTTAAAAAATTTAAAAATATATTTTTTGTGGTAATAATGAAGTTTTTTAGCTCTCAACAACTGGATACTGCATCTCTCGTAAATATATCTGTAAAACCAATTATACAGTGTACTTTCTCGAAAGTACGAAACATTTATTTGAAATCGACTCCAAAAGGTTACTGTAAGTTTTGACATTGCAATTTAGATATTTTAAAAGCCGCAGCCAAAGCATGCATTAGTTTCTTTTTTTTATTGTGTCTTCCTTATTGCCACGCGTTTATTAAACCCTATATAGTTAAAAAATATTCTTAAAATCTTTCGATTTTTTGCAACACAAAGTCACTTTTCAAAATATTTATAAATATGGGAGATATGAACTTTCTTCCAAAACGCCACGACCACCTTTTTAGAACGCTAATTTCCGGTCGATTAATTTATATCTCATTTTTTACAAGCCTTTGATGTGTCAAAAGATGTTTGGAACTGAAAATTACCGATACATTTGGTCATTTTGATTCTAAATGTCGTGTACTGGAATGAAGACGATAATTTGGTTCTAAAATTTGAGAAAATAATTTATCCAGGTTAAGGGCTTGGTAAATGGTTAGGTATTCAAATTGCATATTTGAAGGGAAATATTTCTTAATGGCCATTTTTATTGGGCCTAAAGAAAACATTTGATTTTCATTATTCTAAAGTACATGAAAAAACTGTAAAATGAAAATTGTATTATTTTTTATTTATGAAGGATTAATTTTTTTTTCATCCTTTATTAAAATTACTGTTTTATACATCTAGGTTGAAGAATTTAAAACAACAGTCGCACGATTTTTTAATTTTTTCTACAACTTAGAATAGGTATTTAATTTGATTGTTAGTCTTAGTTTAAAGGAAGTAAACATCGCAAAATAATGTTTAAGTTCATGCAAGAAAACGTAGAAATAATATACAACATCCATTACCTCCATTAACAGATTTTCTTGCCAACAGTTGACAAGATTTCAAATCCAAATGATTCTCCAATATTTTATTGACACTAAGGTGGTAAGAAATCACATACACCGATATTAGTGCATACGTTTCGAGATTTAGATATCGAAGATAGATAGGAAAAGCATTTTATAGATGAAGCTGCATTTCCGACGAACGGCATTGGATCGTTATGAAATATTAGACTGTAGACCTAGGATAATCCACGTTAATTAATAAAGAGCAAAAGAAAATACTACTCTGTGGATTTTTAAAACAGGTAATTATTGTGTTTTATTTTTTTATTTTTACAAAATGAAATTGCTGACGCATTCGATCAGTTCCCTCAGTATTATCATAGAGCACCTATCCATAATATTCGACATCGGTTAAGTGATAGTGTTTCGGATGAAATAATCCTGTCGGGAACAATAAAAAATAAAGTTTATGGTAATCATGCTACAAGTCCTCAGAAAAGAGCTGGATTGGATGAGATAAGAAAAATAATGAGCAATAACTGCGAAATACCGAAAAGTGTATAAGCACATTAATTGAATTAATCGAAACAACTATTCTATTTAAATTTTTCCGAACTTTTTCTATTAAGGATGAGCCTGCTATTAAATTTTGATAGTGGGGCTCCACGTCATTTTGAGCAAACAATTTTTTTTTATCATTTGTGCTTTTTTTACTTTATAAAAATATTTATCGTGGGGAGACTACTTTGAAAAGAGTTAACAAGATTTCTCTAATTTTAATTTTCTCAGCTAGGTAGTGTCGGTTAGTGAGTTTTATTTGACAGCCTTTATACAATTTTTAAATAACAAAATACATCAAATTTTTAATAAATCTCTTCATAAGTAAAACAGCAATTATAATTTTTTTTTATCAGAAATACATTACTTTAGAACATTGAAAATCTAACAACACCCCTAATAGCACCAAACAAAAAAAATACTAGCCACTGTTTAATTTTCCCATTTACAACATTGTAGATGTTGGTCTGATTTTATGGTTGAAAATGTAAAGCGGTGCAATTAAATATTTTATAAATACCGTCCAGAGAAAACCGATTTTATTTCGGCTATTGCACGGTGATTCACCAAAAAATTTTTACAGCTAGTTACCAGAAAATTTCTCCATCGCACAACAGAAAAACCTGAAAATCACTAGTCTGGTATTTCGGTTAGGTAATTCCGCGTAAAAAGCATCCGCATCGGGAAAACGGAATGAATAACGCAAATTGACAGATAACCAATTGGGCGCCGCTATCTTGCGACGTCAGGGATTATTCGATCCAGCGTTTAAATAATAAAACGTGATCACTATACGTCGACCGATAAAAGTCGATTTCCATCACGGATCAATAAAAAACATTGGTTTATGATGGAGGAACGGAATTTTGGGGATCGTAAGCAGAAATGGCATATCGTTCCGACATTCTGCAAAATATTAAAAACGTACTTTTCTTGATGAACGACGCTGCGCGACCGTTTCGTGAAAACATGCCATCAATTATTATTGATATACTAGGCATCATGAGAAAATCTAAAATTCCGTACCTACTTATTGCGTTTGTGAATATTTAAAATTAAGGCATGATGTTTAAAGATATAAAGAAATTATACTGTGTACTAAGCAGATTATTCATTTTTATTCAATTGATATTAATTATTTTGCGAAATCGGTCAAATAAATAGTCAAATTTTAAATTAAGAAAATATTTAGTAGAACAGTGTACGGAAAATTGCCCTTTAACTATAAGCTCCAGTTAATTACTGACTGACTCGTAGTATTATTGAATATTGATTACAACGTGTCAAAAAATAACATTTGGGAAAATTTCAATGATTTAGGACATACACATTTACAAAATTTGAGTTTATTTCCCATAACTATAGAAAAGTTGGACATCGGAACATAAAAAAATCATTTTTTTTAAATTAGAACGTACAAAAATTTAAGTGTAAAATTGAATTAGTAAAAAAACAGTTAAAAGGCAAATAATTAATAATTCTAACATAACTCCTGTCATTAGCGTCTATGGAAACAGAGATTATTTGCAATGAATATGTTAACAGTTTTCGTCTATCGTAGAGGGTGCGACATCGCTATTACTGGTTCAATTTTTTTTATTTACCAATATTTGGTCGAGTACTTATGTGAAAGCGCACTTAATACTAGGTCTGCCTATAATAATTTGGAGCTTAAAGAGCATAATATATATAATATTTATTTATATGCGAATAATAATTGTCTATGTAATTGTCTATGTAAATTACTCAAAAGCCCTCAAGAAATACTGTGTCCATCGTATAGTTCAAAATTGTTTAAAAAAAAAACGAAAAATTGGTCTGTCTACTATCTACATTATTTATTTATTTTATTTATTTTATTTTAGTTATTTATTTTATTTTCCTTAATCATTAGATAAAAAATATATAATTGATAAGATGTAAGAAAAGAACGAGTTCGATTAAAAAAAATAACTTTAATAAGCTAACGCCAGCTTGGGCAATAAAAAAACTCAAATTTCGGTAATATTTTTTTTCTACTCCCGTCTGTAAAATACCTAATTCCACACCGATCTAGCATGCGGGAAGTGTCATTTTACCATCTCAGTTTCGTTTCTTTTTCATTTCTGGGATTTTACCGCACGGGTTCGGGAGCAATCAGGTGTTTTCGGAGATATTTCTCACGCCTTGAATTTTGATGTTTGTCAATTCTGACGGTCATGTCACTGAATGTATTCGTGTTGTTTTGCGAAAATGTACCCAAAAACTAACGGTCGTAGGAAAAGTATAGTATGCAACACGTTCGGTAAACTTTTTAAGTCACTCGTTTATTAAACACTCGCTCCGCTGCGCTTCGCTCGTGTCAAATAAACTCGTGAGTCAAATGCCGTTTACCGCACTTGTTGCATAATATACTAATTTTCTACTCCCGTCTGTGAAATACCTAATTACACACCGATCTAGCGTGCGGGAAGCGTTACTTTACCACCTCAGTTTCGTTTCTCACGGACCCGAGCCACTTCGGATATTTCCGGGATTTTACCGCACGGGTTTAGGAGCCATCGGATGTTTTCGGAGATATTTCCCACGCCTTGAATTTTGACGTTTGTTAATTCTGACGGTCATGTCAGTGAATGTATTCGTGTTGTTTTGCGAAAATGTACCCAAAAACTCTCGGTCGTAGAAAAAGTATAGCATGCAACACGTTCGTTAAACTTTTTAAGTCACTCGTTTATTAAATACTCGCTTCGCTCTTGTCAAATAAACTCGTAGGTCAAATGCCGTTTGCCACACATGTTACATAAGATACTATAACATCTTAAACCTCTGTAAAAACGACAAAATACGTTTTTGTTTGGTTTCATATAAAGGCTGTATATTTGTTTTCGAACCTACCATATTCAGTTTTCCATTTTCCCAAAAAAAATTTAGCCCCATGTCCAATATTCAACGTGGATTTGTGCCATTGTGCGACGCCGCAACGATTTAAACTCGGATTTTCCTGGAAGTGACAGCAAACAAACGGTACGATTAAAACAAAAGAAAGCGAAAGTGGAGCAGAACCGGATAGCCTATTGTGTGTACCCACGAATTTAAATTTAAAAATACCGCGCGATATTTGGATTTTCCCGATTGCCGGCTCGGTCGATTTGCACGCGAACGCAGTTCCAAAGCAGATATCGTTTTCTGTCCACCTCGATCAGTGTACGGATTATCGCGTCCTAATTTAAATAACGAACCCAAACAAGGCTGGATTTCTCTGTTAACACCCGTGTGTGTGTTGTTTAGAAAAATCATGAAGTATGTACAACAAGTTTGAAACAAATTAGACAAGCGAATTTGTTTTAGAAGAAATGAAAAACACGTTACAATTAACTTAAGGTACTCTGAAGAGCATCACAATTAATAAATTATCCATGAGAGTTATTTTACTTAATCTGGAATTTCAATTATACTTGCAGAATTATGATTCGCATTTCGCTAATACTTTTTAAGTCACACAAACACACACAGTATAATTCGGTATAAACCCGAGCATACTAAACCAAATACTGTCTGCATGTGCTAATCACTTGTGTATCAATTCTTAGGTAAAATTTAAGAAATAATCTGAATCATTATTCTAATTCCTCTGTCAAAAATACTGTGATGTATCCCATAACATAGAGAATAAGAAGGAGAGAACAGATTGCGAGGAACAATAATTATATTCCAAATTGAAAAATATATTCGAAAAAGACATTGACTTTCCATTGCAGTCAATATATGTATTGTATTAAAATGTGTTGCGAAAGCAAAATTCCGTTCACAAAGCTCGTCACATTGGCAACCCCGCAACGTCTGGTATATTTTCGAGTAATGAGGGGACGAGTGCGCATGTCTCGGGAATCCCGAGTTGCCGTCGGGCCACATGCTCGGGCGCGAGTTTCCAATTTCATTCTTTAGTTAGCTGTTGTCGTGGGCGAGCAGTGCCGAAACCATTTAGTGATTTTCGAAAAACGAATGTTCTTAATTTATGCGATAGCCTCCAAGCGAAGCCCATTTAAACGATCCCGAACCTCTCCGCGAGTGATCGGTGTGCGTCCTGCCGAGCGAAAGTTTTTAGCTGCCATTTTTGTTCCGTAGCGCGCCCATTGCGAAAATGTCCGGGAAAGCGATGACAACCGCGCAAAATTTTCCAGATGCGTCAGGAAAACTGATCGAAGAGGAATCCAAGAGTGACAGTGGATTTATATCGAGCGGAAGTATTATAGTGTCTGGAGAAATATCGGGAGAACTGCAGCCCGAGACGAGCCACGGCAAAACGACGTCGACGTACGCAGATTCCGGAGTAATTGACGATAACGACACGAAAGACGCAGCCCACATGCGTGTGGACAGCGGCGTGTATCTCACCCTCAGCGAAAATATTTCGAATTTAAGCTTGAAATCCCACGGCTTGAACGACCTCAACAATCCCAAAGAAACAACCGCTGTCAGTAAGGAATATCTGCACGATATCCCCTGGAAAATTTACTACGAGCAAGACGAGGACGGCGATACGTGAGTACTTTTTCTGACCTTGTATCGCTCTTGGTTTGTTTTGGTTCAAAAGTTCATTCGAAGTGCAGAAGTTACGAGTTAGTTTTGGTTAGTTAAGAAAAAAAAAGGAAACCATTCTACAATATACTAAAAGTTGCTTTTTTGACGTCATTAGGAAATTTTAGAGTGGAGAGAACTTGATAAATTAAATTGAAAAAAAGAATAACGATGACGTAATTAGTACCGAAATAACTAATTACATCTGAAATCAAGTTATTTTCAAGTTAATTATTCAAAGTTATTTCGAAATAAATTTGATAATTTAAGTTTGAATTAAAATACACTGCGCGTGGCGAGCCACTATCACTCTTTATTCTTTAACTTGTTTCAAAATTAACCGTCGTAAATGATTTTCAGTTTCGAGTTTGTTAATAAACGGCAACACCAAATTTCTAACGCGCATGTGCGATTCGTTTCGCAACGATTCAAAACAAAATCAGATGAGAAAATTTATCTTGTAAATTGCTTTTTTGCGGTATTAACTGATACACTTTAGTTTGGCTGTTATTCTAAGGAAATCGTGTATCAAAATCCGCAATTATATGGCTTCTAATGATGCCAGCTATTAAAATTAAATTTCCACCATATTGAGACCGCAAAATATAATTACATAAAAATAAATCCAATTAAACTCCAAACTGCGGTCGAATATTGCCATAAAAGTAGGGATTTTAATTTCCCATATAATTTCCGAGGCCTTGATTTTAAAAATCTTTATACCATACGACCCTCAGGTTATTCCAGAATACCATTGAAAGGCGGAATACCAGGGTTTACTCAATATCGATCGACAATTTGCGGTCACTTTTTCATCCGTCTCTTGTTTTGAATATGCATTTGATTCCAAGATTCTAACGGTCGTGGGGGGATACCTGTTGCATATAAACTTTCAGAAAACATAATTTTCGCTGGCACATTGAGCGGAATGTTTGGGTTATTTTGATGGCGTCCGTTTATTTTAAGCTGGGCAAAATATTTAAAGTACTTATATATTTAGACCGGTGGTCTGCTTTTTTTTATCATCATGGCGACTTTGTAAGACTTCGTGAGGTCAATTTAATATAATTGTATAATTGTAATTTTACGAACAGTAGCGGAACATCCGGGGAGTTTTTTTTATATATTTTATATAATAATATCCTCCATTTCTGTAACTCAGTTAAAAAGAAAAAAAATAATTTCGTAGTGTTTTACTTTTTTCCAAATCCAAAAGCAATAGGGCCCAAAAAGCGGATCAAATTAATAGAAGAATGGTGTGCAAACAAAGACTGAATTTTAAATTTTAAAAAATGCAAACTATATATCAAGATTTGTTTTCAGATTTGGCAAACATTTTAATAATTAATAATAATAACATTAATCGAGTAACTGAAGAATTTTATCAACAGGTTGCCTTACTGTGCCTTTTCTACTACCATTACTTTTTGGTATACTTCGGACATTTCTTTAACTTTGGTCAAGGGTTTGAGAGTGATCAGTTGTTTTTGGTAGACACTATCGGTGATAAAAATTTAATGGTAGTAGAAAAAGTTTAGTCTGATTGATAAACTTGTCTCTCGTTTATTAACCACTGGGTTCGCTGCACTCGGTTCGTACCAAAAAAGTATTGTTATTCATTAGATGATTATTATAGATTAAACTAAACTTTAGTGAAACTTTCAGTGCAAATTAATTCCTATTTAAGTAAAGGTGACGCTAGCGACATTATATTCTTGTCTTGTACCTTGTATATCATAACAAATAGCAGAATGTTGTACTTGAACTCAAAATAATTGTTTTAAATTTTAAAATTGAGTTTAAATGTGATGTGGCAGGTATTACAATATACATATTTCAAATTACATTAAATTAGGTTAAATTTGATCGGTGATGAGTATCCTTTCTGTGTCGTGTCATTTTGATACGGTATGTCCCTAGTAGAAAGACGAGGATCTGTAGAATAAAAAGGTTGTTTAATTTCGATTCAGCCTTCGCTCGACCCCGTAAATTTTTTCCAGTGAAATGTTCGATTACTTATAGGAATTTCCGAACTCGCGGTTTGTGAAAAGTGTTCGACAGCAGAGAATCGGCGAATACTTAAATTGTAATTATACAGATAAGGTCTGGTAGTTAACCTTAACGTATGAATCTGGTCAGAAATTTTGGATTTAAATCCATACAACTTTATTATTCGCTTTTAAAAGCCTTGATTTCATTCCGCAGCAAAATTATGCCTTAACAATTTCATTATATTGTCATTAGGTACTATTGAGTTTGGCCAATTCGATAAAATATTAATTTTATCGAATTTTTATGGCGTAGACTGGTTATTGCGTATAATTTAACCTTGATATTGATTGTCAAGCTCTCTCGGTTCGTGTATTTAATTTCAAAAATTGGGGAAAAAAACGTCAAGCAATCAATCGCCTGTTATATACGAAATTCTCGAGGTTGTTACTTATTTTTGACGATTTCGGATTATCATTGTTTTTGAAAACTTTCGTGAATTTTTTTTGCTGCGTTTTGGGGATACTTTTTTTTTGTTTTCAAGTAAATAAATATTTATCGTTTTGAAATCTAGTAATCTACGTATGTACGTACAATAGACATGATTTTATTTATTTACCAATTTTTCTATTGTTTAGAATTGGGGAAAGGTGATCTTTGCAAATCAATTTTTCCATAATTATAAGAACAACTCTTTCAGCAACCCCATTGAGAACACCATGCAAGCTTGCTTTTAACGAATATGTTATTAGGAGGTCGTCGCACCAATTGAAGACTAAGTTTATTTTTAGTGCTGAAATGTTTTGGCATTTGGCACTTAGCTGCTTTAAATATCTGCTAAGCTAAACGGTCAAATTTGGCAGTTTAAGTAAAATTGCATATGCTTGCATTGCTAGCTTATTCGGTTTGAGAATAGTATATGAGCAACTGCGCGTTAGGGTGGATCCCATATCCCAGTCACCGCAGCAAAATGTAAAAAATACACGGAAATAATTAGAATGGTTGGGAAAATAAATTTTTCTCCTATAGGCTGGTGTTGAATACAGTAGTAGCGATAGCGGGGATCCTAGTTTACAAACTTAAATTAAAATTCTAACAGGCTTTGGTTGGCGTTTTTTAGTGAAATGGTCCATTTACAGACCGGTAACGAAATTAATGGCCAATCACGAGGCCAAGCCAGAGATTTATTTAGTTTCTGAAACAGAAAAACTCTCTTTTCTTTTTTAAATTGCTTTGTTCCTTATTAGACCCATGGTTTTGCGTTGGTGAAAGGTGACATTTAACACCCCGTGCGAAGGACGGTGTCGGAAATGAGTGACGCAAATCATTTCAAATATCTTTATTCTAGAGGCCAAATTATAATGGGTATAGAACTCGACCCTTTACAAAAACAAAAAATTGTTTACTGGATACGAAGAAAGATTCTTATACAAAAACCGAATAAGAAGCTTGCAAAATATATATAACTTGATGGGCAGATCTGATTATCGATAAATTTAACTTAAAATCATAAATCAGATAGATATTCATCTATATTTCTGTAGCAAAATTTTGAAAGTTTTACGGCTTGAAACATTCTTTAATTGAACTGTGTGAGTCGGTGACTTCTCTAGTGTATGTTAAGGACAAGTTTATTGCCATATTTGGCGTCCAATTTTTGCAAGTCGCTGTAAGTTAAATTTTATGTACAATAGTATTCCAAAGATATAAATGCAGGGTACAGTTAAAAGGGATAGAGTTTTAGAAAATCATTACAGCAGGAGTACCTCGAGGCGCCGACAATATTTCTAACAGTTTGTTTTTGCAATTTAAATACTCCAAAATATGACGCCATATTTAAATCGAGAGAAAACATATGAGTAATAATAAGACATAAGAACTTTATGATTCGTAACTTTCTACAGTCTATTAAACGCAAAACATACAGTTGGTAGTATACGACACAATATATGTCAATATGTGTCACCCAACAAAGCTCATTAACAATGTATATCCCAAGAACTTTTGTATCAGAAACTTGTGATGGTTATATCGAGTTTAATTGTAATTAATTTCTTTATAAAATTTTCGACCCTTCTGAATACACAAATACTAAAGGCAAACGGTAAGACCTATAATCAACTTTTGGTATGGTTCGGCGGCATCGTTTGCGTGTGGATGCTAATGGTAACTATTTCGAACACCTACTGTGATATCTTTAAATTGGAATTTAAGCTACACTTTTATCAAAAATAGAGTTTTAAACAGTGGATTGGCCCCTCTGTACATTCCCAATTTGCAAAATTTTTTTACGCGTCACTCAAAAATCGCTTCTTTTATTTCGTTTCGGGCCATTAGGTAAAATCCGTATGTCCCGTTGCAGGCATCTGCACACCGCCGTCGTGCAGGGTTTCGTGGAGGTCGCACAGGCGCTGATCCGGATAGCGCCCCATTCCCGTCTTCTCGACACCCCCAACGACGACGCCCAGACCCCGTTACACCTCGCGGTGGTGACGTCCCAATGGCCGGTGGTGAGGTGGCTCATAGTGGCGGGGGCGCGGCCCGGGCCCCGCGACATCAACGGCGACTCTCCCCTCCACATAGCGGCCCGACTCGGCGACCTTGACTGCGTCAAGGCCATCACTAACCCCGTGCAGCCGCAAGAGAGGGAAGCCCTCGCGTTAGGCTACCCCCCACACCGTTACGAGAAGTGCAGCTTGAACCAGTGGAATTATTCTGGTGAGTGCGTCTGTTTTTTCGTACCTATAGTCTGATTGGATAAATGCATTGCCAGGTGGGTAAATAAAATATTAAAAACTAGGGGAACCACATATCAAATACTTTCCTCCCTATGAGAATATTTCAAAGGAAATATGCAACCTCCTATTGAAATTCTTAAATAAAATGTGAATTGCTAATTTTCCATTCCATTTAATGTCTCTATTTTAGCGTTTGATTTCTTAAAATATGAAGTTAGTTGAATAATTAGCATGTAAAACCGGTAGACGTAATAAATTATTTTAAGTAATTTTTATATGCGAGAACGAGGTAACTTTGGGAGAAACGAGTATAAAGTAAAAATAATTTAAATTTTTAACTTAAATTTTGTCAGCAGTAACTTTATGACCCAATCAAAGGTATGTGCGCCCAAAATTTAATTTGGATATGTTATACGGTGTCAAAAATTAAAAAAACAATTTTTTGGGGCCCCTGTTGCAGAGCCTTCTAAAGAAGACGTTTTCGGACACATGTTTATTAATCAGCATCAATAAACAGCCTGTATGCGAGAATTAATTTTATCTGTAGTTGCAAGTGAAACATGAGCCTTTTCAGAAATTGTCGAGAATTATTTTACAAATTACTTTTTGAAAGTTTGTTTTAGTCCCTTATTTTGTATCAATTTTGAATCTTCCATCCAATTGTGGAGGTTCTTGAAACGATCAAGTAAATAGTCAAGGTTTGACTTGCAACAATTATTTAAATCAAAAGAGCATAACATACGTTGTAGTTCAGCGTAAGACATTTGCAATTTCCGGAAACCCCGTTTGCCTGAACGGACCTTCCAATTCACACTCAATCAGGTCGCAAAAAAAAATCAAGGTGGGAATTCAGTTCAGTCTCGTAATTAAAACTGGTATCTACAAGGTGAGGATTGTATATTTTCAACTTACTATTCTAGTTAGACCGTCGTGATAAAATTCTCAAGCCCATAATATCAATATTTACTTGAGTACCATAAAAAATATACTTAAAGTAAATCGTGCGAATTCAGTTGATTTAGAAGGGCGATTTTCGATTCTCAGCTTGTTCTTTAAGAGACCGCAACCGTATTTTTCTCCATAATGCAATAAATCGGCTTTTTTTCCAAATTGACCTAACCTTGAAGTGTGAATAATTGACCTTTTTACTAGCTTTTTAGAATTTATATGAATAAAAAACAAAAAAAATGGTTTAACGTGGATAATAAAAATTCATTTTACTATGTAGCACGGCATGGGGATAACAAGATGACAGCTGCAAGGAAATTATGGGGGGACACCGTTAAGTTGCTACACTTTCGTCCTCATAAATTGCACGCGAAAGGACAGTTTGGTGGTATCGTAGTCAAAGATAACTTATTTATATCAATGTTGGAATTTCCGATGATGCAGACTGACATCCTTATTCGAAACGGGCGACGCATTTGCGCGTATTACGTTAAATGTTTTTAAAATGCTTCGGGAATTGTTATTGTACGTCAGGGTTTTTGCGGTTTAAGAGTGAACAAAACAAATTGGGAAATTCTCAGCTGTTATCCCGTATAGACACGATAACGACTGTTTGAAATTTTCTTTGCCTACGGCAAATGCTGAGAATTTAATAACGCAAACGGTTTCAGCTGTAAAATTTCATTGTTCATTTCTTCAAAAAATATTTGTATAGAAACGTAACGGCTGTATTTATTGGCGTTTTAGGTGACCGTAAACCGGACTTTAGTTGATTTTAATACGTTGCGTCCCATCGGGATAGTGAGCGTAAAATATGCGGAATTTCTTGCCAGGCTCGTCTGGTTTTCCCGTCATCGAAATAGTTTCAGACTGGCGTTGCCAGATGTCCGAATATCTACTATATTTAACCTTGTATACATAACAAATTTAATGTTAAGAGTCTTCCAAGATGTAGGAGAGACCGGCGACAGCTTTTTTTTTCAGTTATGGGTATTTGAAAATTTGTTGATATGCATTTTTGCACTATGAAATGCATAAAAAGCCTGTGGCTGTTTTAGAGGACACCGTGCCGTAATTGGAAAGGGAATATCGAAAAATTCAATGAAAAATCTGGATCAGTGTCAAAGCCATTCGCTTATCTTCACCTCACCATTTGTCTTGCTCTATTATTCACAACTAGTACAATATATTTTTTAACTGTCACGAACAAATTAATTTTCTCGGACATTACGGCATAGCAAACTTACTTTGTGTCGTTTCCTATGGCCCAAACTTTTTATTTTTATATAGAATTAATAATTATCGTCAGAAAAGCGTATTTAACTGTCGTCGCTCGGATTCAAATTTTCTCTCGGAACGGTTTTAAAAGGACTATTGCTAAGGAAGTTAACATTAAAATAATTATTCAACTTTCATGACGAAGTTTGTTCAAATATTGTCCAAAAGTTTTTATACGCTTATATCAACGTTTGACGGCAATTTTTTTGTTCAAATGCGAATCAATTAAGGTTTTAAACACGTTGAGTGAAATTATCAGCTTTTGCTTATGGTACGCTTTTTAAAAATAGTCTGAAAAGTTTTGTCATTTTAAAGATACACGTAAATACTAGGTAATATATAATATTAATTATAATATTTAGGCATTAAAAAAAAGTATAATTAAAAGTCGCTTTACGTATTTGCTATTTAAAGGAATCTAGAATATTTCTAAGTCGTCCATACCATCATAATCCCATTACAAGAGCATTATGGTCATATCAGTTCGAGCTTAATTAATTTTGTGGTTTCAAAATTCCGTCGGTGAATCTACCTGTCGGAAAAAGGGCAATTTTTCGGTTAGCCTTTGCATCAACTCTTTGATCTAGGAGTCGGTCCTAAGTGTTATCCAAATAAATAAAAAGCTGCAAGATGTAAAGTTTATAGACCGATGTAGTTTGTGCACCGAAAATTTAAGGTTTATTTCTTTCCATTTTCGGAACAACAGAACCATCGAGGCAAAGATAAAAGTTTGACATACAGAAACAATCCAAAATTACATGTTATTTAAACAAAGTGACAGAGGAATATTTGTAATCGCGTTTTAACCGACCGTCAGCTCGTTGCAGTTATCGACAATCAGGGAATCCCGAGCATGGTCCACGTTAACGATAAATATTTTAAGTTTGCGAGAGAGAGGTATCGATATGATGTACGTAATCAATTCCTACACATAAATCTATTTCGTTTTTTCCACTGTAACGCCATATGGCCGGCTCCGGAACTGTTTACGAAAAACATAGGAAGTTGTGGATGTTTTCTTATGCCTCAGCAGATGTCGATAATAATGCTTTCGGTGCCTTGCAAGTCATCTTCACAGTTCCGCGTCGGGTTCGTTGTGGCGCAGCCAGTAACCCAATTAATTTTGTTTTGATAAACCACCAAATTGTGGGTATCGAGGAAATCGCGATTTTTGAATTGATTTAGATATTTCCGCCACACGCATTTAAAGCTAATATTAATAATTTAGTATACAATGTTATATACCAATTGTTACTTATTTTTAAGGGCTTAACACTGGAGCAATTTTAAGTATATCTCTGGTGTTAAAGAGTCAGGATGTTAAAGTCTTTGTAAAGTTTAATTGATTTTATAACAATCAATTAAATCATCTACACTTTATTTGGTTTTAAAATGTTAAAATCATTTTTAATGTGTGAAATTAAAAAAAAAGTATTCTGGAGTTTTAAATCCACAGGCCTCCAATTGAAAGAGTAAGTCATTCATAAAATTAGTGTTGTTGTGATGCCAATATAGGCATTTAGGCATGGCGACCACGTAAATTGGTAGAAAATAATTCTCGGAAGGGGCAATAATGAATCGTTGCCGTGTGAGATTATAATTAGAATATAATAATAAACTTTTCATAATTATAATTCTACATCAGATAACACCAAGCAAAAATACATAAAACAAGAAACACGTCATTGAACAAACTTGGCAGTATTGCGGCATTTTTGCTGTGAGTCTTTGTAACAGCGATATCCAAAAACGGCTTCTCACTTTTCTCGCAAAAATAAGCAAAAGTACAGGCGTAAGACTTTATTTGTTGTAATGTTGTCATACTAAATAAATACATTTCTTACAAACCATATTGCTGTTGTCGAAAAAAGAACTATTTGTTATTTTATGGGTAATGTTTAACGAAATATTCGTAAAGCATTTTGTTTACACACATATATTAAATTAAGACGATTTGAGATTGCATTTGAATTAAAAATATTGTGTATAGTGTATCGGTCAAAAAATCCCAAGGATCAACGATCTCCCTTAATTATATAACTATGTTCGTACCTATTTCTTGAAGTTAGGGTGTACTAAAAAAAAAATTTAGGTTGGAAAAACGTGAAAAAAAATCATGCGCGGTTTTTCAACGGAAACAACTTTTTCAATAATATTTTTCGATATTTCCAAAAGTAACCTAATTTTTTAAATAGTTTTTATAGAAAATATAAATTTTGATGCATAAAAGCAAAGTTTAACTAATAGTTTTTATAGAAAATATAAATTTTGATGCATAAAAGCAAAGTTTAACGTTTCGTAAAATAATTTAACAAGTTATCGCCAAGATCAAAAATTGCCAATACTCATTAATAAAAAATGTTCGCATATGATGCGCACTTCGATGCTAGCAATGATCGACTCATCGAAAGTCTGCGAATACGCGGTTTGTTCGCCGACGGCACTGGCAAACTTCGAACGCGTTCCTTCGAACGAAATGAAAAATTGGAAACTCGCCTGAATAAAACGTCATTCTAGCAACATAACTCGTGACTCCGTGAATATTTCGGGCTGGGGAGAATGCGAACGCCCACGGATCACGCGTTTTTCCGTTTCGGTATTATTAGATATCGGTGATGCAGGGATTTCCGAAATTCTTCCGCGATATCGCAACCGATTCGGTCACCGTTTTGCGACGCCCGTCCTTTTTTGGTCGAATGGCGTTGCGAGTCCAAATTAACCTCTTAAAAATCTCTTCTCAACATTGTGCCGCGGAGGATCCTTCGAGTGTTTTTAATTTGACGACGATATGTAGGTTATTTTATTGGCAAAGTCCGTTTTTAATGACACGGTGATTCACAAGCCGGCGCTAACTAACATGGACGTAGATATAAAAGAGACCGCATGTCATTCATAAAAGTGCAGTTGTGATGCCAATATATGCATTTGGGCAAGGGAAGATTAGGGTGAGGAGTGTTGCCTAAAGATGAATGGTTGCTATGATGACCACGTAAGAAAATAATTCCCGAGCGGGGCAATAAATGATAACAATAATAACATATTTGAGACGCTTTTAGAGATATTGCAAACCACAACCGATGCCTTTGAGCATTCTTTGAAAATCTAGAATAGCAAGAAATTCATAACACACCCACCTACGAAACACATCTTCGAATTGTTTACATACGCATGAAATGACATTTCGGAATTTAATCCGGAATTTTCCGAAAACTTCACGGTGTTGCGGTATTTTTACTATCAGCCTCGGCCTTAAAGCAAATTTCAAATACACCTTTTCGCCTCCAATAAGTCACTTTCTTTACAACATTCTCCTAGATATTTGCATCACGCCATAATGAAAACAATGCTATCTCGCTTTATATCTATGACCGCCAATCGAAAAATAAACTTCTACAACTTTCTTTACTGTTATTTTGTATTTCTTGATCAACAGCGCGGGTAATTTGCAATAAATCATTGAAATTGTATTGTCTGGGGGCAAATGAAACGTCACCGTGAAATGTTTTTTGTGAATTGCGAATGAACCCAAACAATTTTTCAGGTCAGACTTGTGTCCACGTGGCAGCTATACACGGCCACATCGACGTCCTCCGGCACCTGGTGTGGTACGGGGCCGACATAAATGCGCGCGAAGGTCTCTCTGGTTACACCGCCCTCCATTACGCAGTGGAGAGGCGCGACGAGAAAATGGTGCAGTTTCTGTTGACCGAATGCAACACCTTGAGACCGGAAACCGTCTCGTACGGCAATAGGAACGCGCTCCAGATGAAAATATTGATCCCGGGCAAAATAGGTCGTTTGTTGAGCGGTAAAGGTCTCGCGTCCCCCTACATGTCTTCCGATGAGGAAGACAGCGGCAGCGAAGACGACGAAGAGGTGAATATCGCGAACTTCACTTTTATTTATTATTTTTTAACGTCAAATTTTGTAGGCCGATTCGTTTGCGATTAAGAAAAAAAAATGTCACTGATATTTTCAGCTATCCCATAACTTAACCTATAACTTAAGGGGCGATTCCTTCCCCAAAATAATTGAACAATAAAATATTACCGCACATTTTTTTTTTTTTTTAACGAGTGTAGTGGATTGAATTATACTACCCCTGTCATTCTTAACTAAACTTAAATAAATTTCCACAGGCGGGTTCATTGAAAACTTTTTGTCGTGCATTTTTTAAAATAAAGAAATAAAATATAAAACATTGCATGTTGAAAAAAAACTAGAAAAAATAATTTGGTTGGGTGCTGTCAAACAGTTGTATTTATTTCATCATTTACTAACATTTACCAATTGTTGCAAACAATTACATTTAAAATTAATGATAATGTCAAATAAAGCAAGAATAAGAAAGGCCTTGAGAAGTATAGTACATAGTAGATTTTTTTATTTGATTTTTTATTGCTATTTGATATGTATTGTATATATTTTATTTTCTAACGAGGAATCACTCCCCGTAGTTTTTCGCATTTGTTTGGAAACACCCTCTATAAATTGGCAATACGAAAAAATGGACCAAAATATTTGGTATATAAAGAAATAGGCTCAAGTAGCCCATTATCCTCGTGCCACAGCACGGACGGCCAATAGGTATTTTTGATTTTAATAACGATTGTTAATTATTCCTTTTATTCAGATGGAATTCAATACGATGCATCGGTTGGGACCAAACTTGGTCAACGCGAGCGCTTGACGTGCTCCAAGGCGTGACGTCAGCCGCTCGATGGGATGCGCCGAAAATGAGGGGCGAACTATGGTCCCTGTGGGAATGAACCCACTTTAAGCTGTAAATTAAAACGATCCGCCTTATTTGTTAGCACCATTTCTCTACATATGATGGAAGTTTAATGTTAACTTGTAAATAATTGTAAATATAATTAAATTGTGAATAAAGAACGCCGTTATTGGGAGTTGACGGGGGAAGTGTTTTTCTTTTTTGGGACATCAAAATTTTCATCATATGTAGTAGAGATATTGACGTTTCTTCGTGAATTCAATCACGACCTTTTGTTGTATACAGAGGTATGGTCACATATTTATTGTCGCCTTGTTCCCATTTAAATTAATTTTTGTACATAATCATTTTATTTCATTTTAGTTTTGAATATTCAATATAGAGATTAAACAAATGCTGGCATTTTCTCTTTCAAATATCTAACATCAAACGGCACATCCTTAATACATTGACCTGTCATCCAACCAGGAAAAGTTTTCCAGAGAGAACCTGCGATATATGGAATATTGGCAATATCTTATTGTAGTTTCAGAGTCTTGGCCTCAAATTGTCATTGTCATATTGAGTTTTGGCCTGAGGGTCACATTTTGGGCGAAAATGAAAAAAACTAAGATGCAAAGTAGTTTTGTGTCGCTTATTACACAAATACACATAACCATAAAAACAGAAAAACATTGTTATTATTATTCAAAAATCTAAAAATCCTTAAAAAATATTATATACCCTAAGCTCAAAAGATAGTAATTATAAATAAAATAAAACAACTGATTAACATTCTTAGTGAAATTTGTTAAAACAAATCTTACAAAAATGAGGGCACCCTTCGCAATGATCACAAAAAGTGATAACCTGAGAAGCCATTTTTTTATCCCATCGACTATTTTCCTTTTTTGCCATACAACTGGTAGCAGCTAGCTTTTTTTTTCTGTTCATGAGTAATGAAGTGATGCGTGACATTTACCTTAGTAGTTGGGGCAGTTTTGTCATCAGGGAAAGTTGGTACTTCTAGTAGCGATGAAACCACACTTTGCCTAAAGGTTGTTATGTTAACTGAATAGAGATTGTATAAAAAATGTGCGTTTACCAGTACGGTGTATTATAGGACGCCAACTGGTCACTAACAGCGACTGGGGACTTGCCGCCGTCATAATCGACGATACATTTGGGTTTTATTTTTTCAATATGTTGCCTATTTCTGGTAACCACAGTTTCCGTTCCCAAATGGCATGTCGCGCCACTTCAAAATGGTTATACCCCTTGGAGCTCAGAATGGCCTAGATTACCGTGCCTGGAGGGTCTGGCAGAGGATGGAGGATGCAAGGGGCACAAGGTTGGTGGTGGGGGTGGACGAGAAATCGGCAAGCGCCATCACGGCTAAGGGCTCACTTCTCTTCTTCCTGGCGACTCAGGTTAAAGTGAACCTGGCGGCGCCGAGGCCGCAGGGTGATGAGGTGACCGCGGGGGGCTCACACGAAGAGGGCTCGTCCATGGAGGTTGGAGGGCCTGTCGGAGAGGCGGCGCCCACGGTTTCTGTGGAGACCTCCGGAGGGCCCTCCGAGGAAGCGAGAACCGATGAGGTATCTCGGATGGAAGTTGACTGGGGAATCCCATCAGGGTCCACCAGTCAGGAAGCGGAAGAGGAGGGAGGTGCTACCTCGGGCTCGGATTCGGGCTGAGGCTAGCATCGTGACCCGCAGGTGGTATTCCTGTAATAACATCTTCACGGGGATTTTACAGATTAACCTGCAACACAGCAGGGCTGTAACGGCCCACTTACGCAGGAAAATTTCGGAGGGCGGTACATCCATTGTACTGATCCAAGAGCCCTGGATTGTAAAATCAAGGGTTAGGGGCTTATCTCTGGGAGGATCGATGCTGCATAGTGTCGGCTCCTTAGAGGGCGGTCCCAGGGCCTGTATACTAACCATGGGGCTGGAGGCCTTTTTCCTAAAGGACAAGGCGTCCATTGACCTGATTCCAATTCTGGTCAGATCCCCCACTCGGGACGGCGTAAGGGAGGTAGTAGTCGCCTCTGCGTACTTTCCAGGCGACCGCAGCTGTCCTCCGCAGGAGATCAGTGACTTGGTCTCCTATTGGGCGGAGGCGAATCTTTCTCTTTTCATTGCCTGCGACAGCAATGCTCACCACGTTTTGTGGGGCAGCGCGGCAACGAATAGAAGGGGGGGAGACCTCGTGGAGTTCATGGCCTCGGCAGGGCTGCAGGTGGCCAACAGAGGGGTAGAACCCACGTTTTTCACGACGGGTCGGAGCTCGGTCATAGACTTAACACTTTGTACCAGGGCTCTGCTCCCGGAGATAACTGGGTGGTGTGTCTGTGGGGAGGACTCTATGTCGGACCATAGATACACCTTTGGGTTGGAGATGGGTGTTCGGGAACCCGTTAGGTTTAGGAACCCCCGGGCAACAAACTGGGAACTTTATAGAGAGGAGCTCGCTTGGCGCCGAGCTCCGCTATGATACGGGCGTTCGAGAATAGCTGCCCTGAGACAGAGGAGCATAGGGCGGGGAGGACTCCTTGGTGGAGCTCTTCCCTGGAGCGTCTCAGGAGGAAAGTGCGGAGGCTGTTCAATACAGCGAGGAGCAGCAGCTAAGGTGCGGACTGGAATCTCTATAGGGAGGCCCGCAGACAGTACAAAAAAGAACTACGGGCATCACAGAGGAGGGCCTGGAGAGGCTACTGCGACGGAGTAATGAATACCCCGGACGCGGCTAGGCTGCTTAGGGTACTCAGAAGTGACCTTGCGGGAAGACTGGAAGTGGTCCGCAGGACCGGCGGTGGCTACACAGCGGGACCAGCGGACACACTACAACAGTTGCTGAACAAGCACTTCCCAGGGTCCACTGATCTGGACACAGGGGGAATATTGAAGCCGGGGGTCGTCTTGGATGCGACTACGCCACGGCAAGGAGGGTGGTCCCGTAGTGGGCTGAGATGGGCTATTGACAGCTTTGACCCCTTCAAGTCGGCGGGCGGGGATGGAGTATTTCCGGCTCTGCTGCAAAGGGACGGAGGTCTCCTGACCAGCCCGCTGATGGACCTGTTCAGGGCCTCCATTGCGAGGGCGTACGTGCCCGAGCTGTGGAGACACAGCAGGGTAGTGTTCATTCCCAAGGTAGGGAAGAGTGACTACACGGACCCAAAGTCGTACCGGCCCGTTTGCCTCACCAACTTCATTATGAAGACTCTGGAGAGACTAGGTATCTGAGGGACTGCCAGCTAAGCATCCGTACCGAAGTGGCGGGTCTGTGAGCACAGCACTTCACCATCTGACTTCCAGGTTGGAGGAGGGTATGGGCTCGGGACGGCTGTCGGTGTGCGTGTTCGCTGACATCGAAGGGGCATTCAATAACACGGCCCTGTACTCGATCTGCAGGGCGGTGGAGAGTACTGGAGTGGGGACGGCCATTGTAGGGTGGATCCGCTCCATGCTAACCGACCGGAGGGTCGAGACAAGATTGGGTGAGGAGCAGGTCTCCATCGGTCCATCACGGGGCTGTCCACAGGGCGGGGTCTTGTCCCCGTTCCTGTGGTGCCTAGTGGTGAACGAGATATTGCATATTCTGAGGGAAGAACACGGGGTCTATGCTCAGGCATATGCAAACGACCTTGTGATAATGACACAGGGGACGGACGTGAGGAGGATGCAATGGCTCCTGGAAGGGGCATTGGCAAGATTCTCACAATGGTGCCTGGACAGCAAGTTGGCTGTCAATCCTGGCAAGGTGGAGATGGTCATCTTCACTAGAAAAAGGAAGATGGAGTGCAACCTCAACATTTCGATGGATGGGGTGCCTCTTTCTGCAAGCGGAAGTGTCAAGTACTTGGGCGTATGGTTGGACTCTAAGTTGACCTTCCAGGAACATATAAGATCAAGGACCAGGTCGGCCTTTGGAGCTCTGTGGGCGTGCCGGAGAGCGGTAGGGGGCACTTGGGGCCTGGGGCCGAAGATCATGCAGTGGATCTACGGTACCATGGTGCCTATGCTCACGCATGGGGCAGTGGCATGGTGGCCGGGGACCAAAAGAGTGGGAGCAAGGCTAGTTCTTGACAGACTGCAGAGATTGGCTTGCCTCTGCATAACGGGCGCCATGAGAACGGCGCCCACGAGGGCCCTGGAGGCTCTGGTGGGGCTGCCCTCTCTGGCGGATCGGGTGCAGATGGAGGCGGCCAGGACAGCTGTGAGGCTGGCGAGCTGCGGGCTCTGGAGGGAGGGAACCTTCAATCGGGGTCCGTACGACATTTTAGAGGGCTGTCGCGGGGATCGCGGGGTCATTGGCATGCCGAGTGACGTCATGATCCCCGAGATGACCTTCTTTGATAAATTGACCTTTCTCTTTCCATCAAGGGAAGATTGGAGAGAGGGCAGAGTCGGCTCTTGGGATGGACTTGTCTGGTACACGGACAGGTCCAGAATGGGAGATCTGGCCGGAGCTGGAGCGTACTGCGAAATAACGGGATCGAGCTTGTCGGTCCCTCTGGGTCAGTACTGCACTGTGTTTCAGGCGGAAATTTTCGCTTTATTGATGGCGGCCAGAGAGGTGCTTCGGCTCAACCACGGAAGCAGGAGAGTCTTCTTCTGCTCGGATAGTAGGGCTGCACTCATGGCGCTGAAGTCAGTGCGTACGTGCTCCTTGTTGATAAAGGAGTGCAAAGGGGTACTGAGGAGGGTGGCTGAGGAGAGAAAGGTCACGTTGGTCTGGGTCCCGGGTCACACCGGTATCCGGGGCAATGAGGCAGCGGACGCCTTAGCCAGAGAGGGCTCCTCGCATAGGCATATAGGGCCAGAGCCCCGCTTGGGGATCGCCCCGTGTGTGAGGCGGGGAGCTCTCGAAGCCTGGGCGAGAGACCGGGCCGCGGGGGACTGCAGAGTTGCTCCGGGAAAGAGGCAGGCGAGGCTTATGATGGGTGGGCCCGCCCTTCCTGATGGGTGGGCCCGCCCTTCCTGATGGGTGGGCCCGCCCTTCCTCGGACCAGGGAGCTGCTTAGACTGACCAGAAGGGAGTGTAGAGCACTAACAGGGGCCTACACAAGACATTGCAGGCTTAGGAGGCATCTTTGCTTGCTAGCCATTGGAGACGACCCGGAGTGTAGGTGGTGCATGGAAGGGGAGGAGACCCCGTATCATCTGCTCACCGAGTGCCCTGCCTTGACATGGGCAAGATTGGGAGTCTTCGGAACGGCCCTGATCGATCCGGACTCAGTGCACGGTATTGGGCTAAAGGAGTTGCTGACCTTCTATAGGAAGGGCGGCATCCTGGACGCCCTCTAGAGCGGCCTGGGGGCACAACGGGCCCATCTGGTGGCCTAAGTAATTGGACGCCCGCGAGGGCGCCCCCCTTTAAGACCAATACCAATACCCCTTGGAGATTCTTTGGCAATGA